TTGCGGTGAATTTATGCGCGGGTAGGTATCGCGGCGGTTGGCAGGAAGAATAATTTGTGTTGTGTGGTGGTCGGTCGGGGCTAACGGGGTGGCCAACCCTAGAAGAAACTGGATGGGTCGCTGAAAGCTGAGCACCAAAGAGGGCAGGGCTCGGCTTAGGTTGTGTGGCTGGCCGTTCAAATTGTCCTGTCTTCGAGTGCTCACGGATCATAGGAGGGCTGCGTGCGCATTGCACTGAGTACTGAGGCCTGGGGGCGTATCGACGCTGCCCTGCCAATAGGCTTAACAGCGAGATCTGGAGTGGCACCACAATCTCGCGCTCACCTATACTGCGTATATTTACTTCTTGCCCATCCTCATCCACCGGGGCGATCAATGTAGGTTTGACTGGACCTCAGAATTTTAGGCTGATAAAAAGTGCAACACGACGGAATCAGACAGACAGACTGTCGCAAATTACATTTCGGGCTTGAGACGTTTCGTCCCTCTTCTAAGTGCCTTGTAAGCGGAACGAAATCATTTAAACGCCTTTTAAGGGCCTTTTAAGGCCCTTGTAAGTACCTTAGAATCTGACTTCTAGGCTATCTCAAGATCTGCGCCTTTCAAGGTCAATTTGTAATTTAGGACATATTTATTTATCATTCTGAGTGGGCCTTGGGCGGGTTGGCCATCATGATGTAATATGCCTTTATTTACTTATACCTAAATTAGGCACGCGACGTTATTGCCATAATTATCTGAGAACTCTGCACATCTCGCCCACTGATCCAAAGGCTGGTAATGTAGACGACCTGGCAGCGAGCTCTTTTGTATACCCAGTCCAAACATTGCTTCCTGGGATACGATGTCCAACAGTTGCTCGCTCGAGCTCCACTGAAGACACGCAAGGCTGCGCTGGGACTCACGAAGGTAAGGAGCATGAATTTGTCAGCTGACACGAATGCTTTCAAGTTTGCCAGTTCATTTTCAAGAGAATAGCTGCATACTTTTACTTGGTATCTTTTCAGACCAGCACCGGGAGGTAACTCTATAAGTTCGATGGTGCAAATTCTGCCATGTTCATACACCTTCCTGATCTTTTTGACTTCTGAACTGCTGCAATTAATGTCTTGTTTTTTGTCTTTGCCATATTTACACTCAATTCAAGAGCAGTTCGTGATTTGGACAGATTTCGACAGAGTCCAGATAAACATGGAAGTCAATGAACAAGCCTGTGGCAAGCTAAACGAGGGATTAAATTATTGCCACAAGCGTACGTGTAGGTCTGGACAATTCAAATATACCATGGAATCCCTTATGCTTGTCCACTACTTGCTGCATATACTTTCAGTATGTTAGCTGCCATTACTCCCGTAGCACGTCTCCCTGACACTTATAATGGCAACTTCCAGTTATAAGCCATGTGCTTATCTGGCTACTCACAGCCATAGTGCCATGAAGTACAATAACTGTGCTCTCCTAGACCACCACCACCACAGCATTTGTGAGGTGACCTCTCCATGAATAACAGACCATTAGCAGATGTGAGTGCGCTCTCCGAGTAATATGTTGAAAATTTTGACACTAAATCTCATAAATTCTTTCCCATGGGGAAGAAGGTGCTCCAGAAACTCAGCAATCCTGGCAATGCACCAAGTGCAACACTGTCTTCCTGCATAAAGACATTGCTTGACTACACCTCTGTGTCAAACACACCACTTTCAAGCCAAGGCTCACTTCTCACACCAAGGTACATGGCATTGCCCATAGGGTGTGGCAGTGCTGCTGAGCCCCAAGTTATCCAGGTGGTTAAGCGTTCTATCACATCTTCACCTTGCGCTGCAGTGTACAGTATATATGAGGTATATCCAGCTAGCTATATACCCTTTGCATCGCTCACGAGTATTCGTGGCAGCACACCTGTGGTGTTTTAGCAGGGAGGGCATATACTCTTGGCAGACTGCGGAAGAAAAATGCTTGCACCAGGTATGCCGGGTGCTCACTCTCAGAATCTTTGTTAAAATCTTCTACAGCTATGAGGTCCTGGAAGCCCTCATCAATGATGGCAATGGTCCATCTCTGTCTCCTACTGCCAAACAACTTGTCCTTGCAGTACAGCATTGCTGTTTGGTGTTGCGTGTAGGTATTTCAGCTGTCTTTCAATTTGCACGCTAATAGGCCACCAAGCTTGCATCAAGGCTAGGCGGCTCTGAAACTGAACTGATGGCAGCACTGGCTCGTGATGAGGAGCACATTATGAGACCACTTGAGTTGATAACAGATGATGACAAGAGTGACATCCTACACCTCCGTGGCCCCATTGTAGCCGACCTGCTGAATCTTCTTCATCTGGTGAGTTGCATTTGCTTTGCCTGTGCGCAGCCATCTGAAGAGTATTCTGGCTTAGATTCTTCATCCCTTGCCATTGGCCGCTTCCGATATCTTTCCATGCGAAGCAAATGCATCAGAAGATGGAGCAGAAGTACGTCAACTGCAACATATATTCGTGCAGCTTTGCAAAGCATTCTGCGAGCTTCCGCATTGAATATTGCTGTCGGACATTCTCACAAGGAATTGCCATCCCATTGCTGGTGGGTCGTTTGGAGATATCTACAAGGGTGAACATAGAGGGAAGGTCGTAGCCCTGAAGCTACTTCATGCCTTTTGGTGCTATGAGGATGATGTGAAGAATCAAAAGGTGCTTGAGGTCTTGTGAGATTAACAGGGTGCATCACTTGTCATATCTTTGTCAGGCATTCCACAGAGAGGTTGCTCTTGTCCGTGGTATAAATCACAGACATGTCTGTCTGATAATTGGCATTGATCAGAAATCTTTCACTGGTCATACCTGCTCAGTGCTTCCCTGGATGAGCTATGGCAATGTTCTGCAATATATGGAGTCATTCAGATGGCTTGGGCAGGATGCCATTCAATTGGTTAGTCTATTATCTTGAAATGCATGGGAGAACAGTGCTCACAGTCTCGGTAGATCTATTAAGTGGTGTTGGGACTGGAATGCCTGCATGGGAAATGATGTGGACTTGCGTCAACACACCACGTGGGATACTGCATGGATCTAATTAGAAGGCGGCGCCGACGAGGTCTGGCGACTGTGCGTTAGCTTGTTCAGCTAGCCCAATTAACCAAGAGGTTGAGATGGGGGCTAGATAGCGACAAAGGGACTCCTTTTATACTAGTCAGGCTGCGCACGGACCAGGCGTTACATAAGCGACTGTGCTACGGCAGCTGCTAGTGTCTGGGGTACTTTGGCAGGGAAGCAAGGGCCGGTGTGTCATAGCGTATGACATTTGTCGGGCCAACGGGGATAGGATGTCCGTTGCCGATTGGACTCGGGGATAGACGGGGCTGGCGTGTCATAGTGTATGACGTTGTCGGGCCGATGGAGATCGGAGTGCGGCTGTTACCGAGGAAGCGCGATGCGGTGACGAGGCGGCGGTGATATAGGCGCGTTGATGCGCTGATGCGTGCTTGTCGGTGATGCGTTCTTAAGGTGTTTAGCGCGCGGCTTGATGTGGACTTGTAAACTGGCGCTAGTGCGCCGACAACGTTTGGAGGGTCGTACAAACATGGAATAAATCGGAGAAGATAAAAATAAAATAGGAGACCGGGGCTACGCCCACAACATTACCTCCCCCCCCCTACAATCGAGACTCCTGGTGAGAAGATATAGCCTGTATTCTGCCTGTTTCCCACTCGAATTCTGCCGCTTTAGGATTAGTGGCGATTGTTGAGCTGGAATCGGTGTGTTCGTAGATAGGCTTGAAGCAACTGTGGAGTTCGCTGAAGGAGGTGGTGGAGATCTGTCATGGTGCCGAGGGATTTTGCTTGTGGAAGTTGCGTATGCTTTCTTTGGCATGTACGTCTTTGGCAGTAATCCATTCGTCGGCACCTTGTCCGTATCCTTTCCATCTGATAAGGTACTGGAGCTGCCTACGGTAAACGCGTGAGTCCAGTATCTTTTCGACTTCGTATTCCTCTTCATTGTTGACTACTACTGGTGGAGGAGGTATAGGTTTGTTCATTCCGTTGTCATGATATGGGCTGAGCCTATCGACATGGAAGACGGGGTGAACCTTGAGCCAGTTGGGTAGTTCGAGGCGATAGTTAAGTTCTCCGATGACTTCGGTGATTGTAAATGGCCCTAGTTGTCTGGGTCCGAGTTTGCAAGTTTGCTAGTGAATCGAGATGTCTTTTGAGGATAACCAGACTTTGTCTCCGACTTTGAAAGAGTGAGGCGAGTTTTTACGGGTTTCGTAGTCGGCCTTCATTTTTTCTTTAGTCTGGCGGAGAGCTGCTTCTGCTTCTTTATGGATTTTGGCCATGCTGTCGAGTCTGTCGTTTAGTGCGGGAATACTAGAATGTTTCCCTGCTGGGACAGTGAAGTCGGGCCGATATCCGTAAAGTACTTCGAAAGAAGAGTGCTCATTTCCAGTGTGTACTCGTGAGTTGAGTACAAACTCTGCCATTGGGAGCCATTCGTCCCAGTTGTCTTGGCGTTGTGAACAGAATAGCCGGAGGAATTTAGACACCTCGGCGTTCTTTCGTTCGACTTTTCCGTTTCTTTCTGGGTGATAGGCTGTAGTTAAACCTGACTCTATACCGAGCTGTTTGTATAAACTTCGCATGAAGCGGGCTGCGTATTGTGGTCCACGATCTGAGAAGATTTTGCGCGGGATACCGTGGTGTCTGAATACTTCGCGGAAGTGTATCCCGGATGCTCCTTTCGCTGTGAGAGTAGTGCGGCACGGTGCGAGATGTACTTGATCGCTGTAGTGATCGACGTAGACGGTGACGGCGTCGTATTTCCCTGGAGATTTTGTCTGAGGAAGGGGGCCAACCATATCAACTCTGACATGTTGCCAAGGCCCGTCAGGGACCTCTTGCGGCTTGAGAGTTGATTTAGGGTGTTTGGCTCCCTTGTATCTTTGACATTTATCACAGCCAGCTACGTATCGTGCTATTGCGGAGTTCATTCCTGGCCACCAGTAATAGCGGGAGACTAGTTCGATTGTCCCGTGCTTTTCTGGATGTCTAGCAGTGGGGGTATCGTGACAGGACTCGATGATTTTATTACGAAGGGCGACATCGTTCGGTATGTAGAGCTTGCCTTTGTAATAAATGAGTCTGTCGTTTTCTTCCCACTCGGTTAGCCCGCTAACTAGCTTGTGAGGCCCCTTTGTTCGAAGACTGGAGAGAGCTGTGGAGACCTCATCGTCTAGTGAGGTCACGTCGCGAACTTCTTTTTCCAGTGGTGAACTTGTGATAAAGGCCATAGCAGCTAGTCATTTGAAATGTGCCAGTTCTAGTTCTGGGCTGTATGTAGCACTCACAAACCGGCTGTCGGGCAGAACCACTTGCATTTGGTTATCCATGTCATCAGATATGAACTGAGAGCTGGAACGAGAGAGTGGATCTGCGACGAGGTGTGTTTTGCCGGGTTTGTGAGTCAGCACGAAGTTGTAGTCGGCTAGTTTGAGAGCCCATCGAGCTTGTCGTCGTGTAAGCCATTGTGCTGTACGCCAGTATTGGAGGTTAGCGTGGTCGGTCCAGATTTCGAATGGTTTGGGCAGTCCTTCTAGGAAGTGACGCCAATCTCTTAGAGCTTTGATTATAGCCAGGAGCTCGCGATCGTGGATTTCGTAGTTGCGTTCAGCAGCGTTCATGGTCTGTGATCGGAAGGCGATAGGATGCCATAGAGTGTTGTTTGGATCTAACTGACTGATTTCTCCTCCGGTAGCGTAGCCAGAAGCATCAACTTGTACACGTGTATCTCGGTCGGCGTGCCAGAGGGCAAGGACGGGCTCAGTGGTAAACTTAGACTTCAATGTATCGAAAGCCTGTTGTTGCGCAGGGCCCCACATGAAAGGAACATCTTTCTTTGTGAGGTCATGCAACGGGCGGGCAATCTTAGAGAAGTCCTGGATAAACCAGCGGTAGAAGTTGGCGAACCTGACGAAACCTCTAACATCTTTTAGGTTCGCGGGTGTAGGCCATTCTGTAACTGCTCTAACTTTTCCTGGGTCCATGCTGATCGACCCTTCGCTGATGAGTAGGCCAAGGTACTCGATCTGGTCCTTCTCGAATTCACACTTTTCTGGACGTAGATAGAGGTCGTATTCTTTGAGATGCTCTAGTACTTTGTGCACAATTTTTTGGTGTGAGGCGAGGTCTGAGGACCAAATGAGGATGTCATCTAGGTATACTGCGACCTTTTCTTCGGCAATGAGATCTGCAAAGATCGTGTCCATGAGGGCTTGGAAGGTTGCTGGCGCGTTGGTAAGCCTGAAATACATGACGCGTGGTTCGAAGAGTCCTCTGTTAGTGACGAAGGCAGCTTTCCATTTGTCTCCAGTTTTAATCCTGACGTTGGTGTATTCCCAGCGGACGTCAAATTTGGAAAAGATCTTCACACCCTGAAGCTTGTTGATTATATCATTAGCTAGGGGCAGTGGATATCTATTCTGGATTGTGACGTCATCGAGTTTACAGTAGTCTTGGATAAGCCTGAGCTTGCCGTCTTTTTTCTTAATAAAGAAGACGGGTGAAGCAATGGGCGACTTGCTGTGGACAATATAGCCTTTCTTGATTGCATCGTCGAGGAAGGCTTGTAGCTCCTGATTTTCTGCTGGGCTCATTGGGTAGACTTTGGAACAGATTGTTGCAGGAGCGTCCGTTTTGAGGTCGATAGCGTGATTCCAGGTCCTATGTTCAGGGAGTCTTGTCGAGTCTGTTTCAGAGAAGACATGGGTATGCCGATGATACTCTTTTGGAACCAGCTGCTCGAAGGTTTTCGAGTACTTTTCCTTATTTTGCTCGACGGCGACCTTCTGAGAGTAGGTATAGCCTGCTAAGCAATAAACTTCGTCTGTGGCATTATCGAGTATACCGGCCTTCACCCAGGCCCGGCGTTCTGCTCGATTAGCTTCGACTTTAGTTAAACTTGGTGACACAGGTAAATCAGGCGATGCTTCTGAGCTGTCAGGAAGCGTCATTTCGCCTGTTTCCCAGTCTATAGTGGGGTTGACTTTCTTTAGCCATGGTAGTCCGAGGATGATATTCTCGGGGCTGATGTCTGTGATGAAGAAGTCGTATTCTTCGGGAGCCCTCAATCCAATTTTGACTTTCAGCTTAGCGTAGTGCGTGATTGCACCGGCGCTGTTAGTTGATCTGTCAATATTTCGGAGACCAATCTGTCGTTTGAGTGGTCGTTTGTAGATGTTATTCTCTCGTGCGAATTTTTCATGCAGGAAGTATCTGGTAGCACCAGAATCAATCATAGCAGGGGTGCATAGGGACTTGTTTATTCCTGATACTGTTACAAATACGCGGAAGTGAGATGAAAGATGATCTATGGATGATACAGTACACGACGAGATATGGTCCGAAGGATCAGAGTCCGAATATACAGGAGCTGGCACTGTTGAAGGCTGCTCATCTAAACCGGGCGCCAGAGCTACAGCTCTAGTCTGGGCCCTTGCTAAAAACCCTGGCTGATCTTTGCCATCAGCTCGGCTTGTTGTTTCTGCATCAGGACCATCATGTCTTTGAGGCTAGCTATGTCGGCAGCTGAGTCGTGAGATGCGGAGACGGAGGCAGATGACGAGGGGCTTCCTGACGATGTGGCTCTGACTGTTTGCGATTTAGCTGGTTGCCCATTTAAGTGCGACAGGCAGAGCTTCTTCCAATGACCTGGTTTACCGCAGTGCTGGCATTTGGTGTTCTCATGTGCGCCATCTGCTTTGTGACCTTTGGAGCCGCATACACGACAACGACCGACAATGAGCTTGTTGTATTGCTTTTTGATCTCCGTGGGGTTCTTGAGACCTTGGAAGAGGTCGTCGAAGCATGCGGCAGGGATCTCCATAGCGTCGATGCCCATGGCGTTGGGGTCGCGGAAGCCTGAGGAATGTGTTGTCGATGACCGAGGTTGCGAGACCGGTTTGCTTTGATTGGCCGCCAGGTCTGCTTTCTGCAGGTCGATCGTTGCTCCGTATTTTTTTACCAAATTGTAGTCTGTGGCCAGGGGGGCAAAGTAGAATAGCCTGTTGAGATAGTCTGAACTCATGCCAGACTTGAGACAATCGTAGAGGTCGTTATCTGACCAGCCGGTACGGCGAGAGTACGTCTCGAAGTCAGAGAGATAGTCCGCAAATGTCCTGTCGTTTTGTTTGATCGACATAAGCTTCTGCTTAGCTTCATTCTTTGCATCGACGGGTTCAAACTTTGCCGAGAACTGCATGACGAATTCGTCCCAGGAAGATTTAAACGGAGTGTTGCCGTCTGAAAGTTCTTCAATGTAAGGGCGTGCCCAGACCGCTGCGTCATCCGTCATGAAGGAGAGGATACTGGTGATCATTTTGAGTGGGTTCATTATCCAGTTACTGGAGTGATCGAGGATGATAGCGTCGTTGGCGTCTCGCGAGGCGAATATCTCTTTGTTTGCCCAGACGTATACACGGAACGTGCTGCGGAATAGCCTGGCTTTTTCTGACGATTTTCCATTGAAAGTGGCTGGTTTCTCGACAAAGGATTGGAACCGGGAGGAGGCGATGGATGTAACCGGCTGGCGTGCATTCGCCACGAATTGATTCACGGTGGTCATGAGGTTGTTGACGTTTTGGATGAGCGTGACCATAAGATTCATGACATCCTGCATGGTGGGCTGTGGCACGGGGGGGACGTCCATTGCTGTAACCGGTTCTTCCAGGTGGTACCGTGCTCGGATCCGTTCTTCTTGTTCGCTATTGATGAACAGATATGGTGGATTTTTGGCAGTAACTGGTCGTGTGCGATGCTCGTAATATTGGTTTGGACAGAGATAATTTGAGCAAGTGTTTAATTCTCTTCTGTCGTCTAGATGGTAGTCTCGTGCTTTCTCGAAGTTGAAGATGTGAGCAAAGGCCGCGCAGACTAAGCGAGTATCTGCCACTTTTTCTGATTTGTCCGAGAGGACCGAGAACGGATTTATAGAAAGTGGAAAGAGAGTTCTAGAAATATCTGTACTAGTTCTAACTTGACGAGATGGTCGAGCGCATAATCTAGTATGTACGGGTTGAGAATTTGCTCCTCGTCGTAGTCTATGTATTCAAAAACTACGTATTCCTCCAGCTTTCTAAATCAAAGTATCCGTTAACCCAAACCGCATGAAGTGCTTTAAAAATCTGGACTCGGTTATGCCGCAGTCCTTTGAACAAGATTCCTCCGATCTGTTTCAACCCTAAGTTCCAGTGGTTCCACTCCTCGATGCTTATGACGCGGGATACATCTTTGAGAGTGCGGTCGAGGTGGGCGAGTCAGTCTCAGAGCTTGAAGACGGCGCTAATGTCGTCGATTAGAACGTCGGGGCAGTTGAGCGTTTCGAGGACGTTGAAGCGTTTGAGGGTGGCTGCAAACTTTGGCACGAAGATGCGAGCAAGGTCGGCGGCTGAGTATCGAGCAAAGTCGATGGTGACGGGTTTCGGGACGATGGGTGTGTAGGTAGGAGCAGCGGTGAGGCAATCGGCTAGGGGTCGGCTGGAAGAAGCACTGGCGTGCGCGTTCTGTCTAGCGTTGGCTTGATCGCGTTGAGCTTGGAAGTGCTGGCGATTGTCGTGTGCAGCGAGCTTAGCCTGTTTGACTGCGTTCCAGTTGATGGTCGGGAGTGCGGTGGAAGGCGGTGGGAGTGTGGAGACATGCCGAACGATGGTGCGGAGCTCGGTGGTGGTGTACTGGTGGGGGGCGCCTGCTTCGCGTTCTCGACTAAGTTGGTCGAAGATGGCTTCAGGCAGCGCGCGGCAGAGGCAGGGGTGGCGCTCGTCCGCGAGGCGCTTGAAAGTGCGAGGGCGGTCGGGCAAATCTTTCGGCACTGGTTTTATGCAGGGATTAGTGCTGCGCGCGTACGTCTGCCACCAATCGCCGAAGAGACTTACTCTTCAAACGGTAGGAATAAACTTTTTTAAAACTGTGCACAGGGCACTGGATAGGGGGTAGTAGTCCGGGTGCACGAAGATCTCAACCTAATGATGTGGACTTGCGTCAACACACCACGAGGGATACTGCATGGATCTAATCAGAAGGCGGCGCCGACGAGGTCTGGCGACTGTGTGTTAGCTTGTTCAGCTAGCCCGATTAACCAAGAGATTGAGATGGGGGCTAGATAGTGACAAAGGGACTCCTTTTATACTAGTCAGGCTGCGCACGGACCAGGCGTTACATAAGCGACTGTGCTACGGCAGCTGCTAGTATCTGGGGTACTTTGGCAGAGAAGCGAGGGCCGGTGTGTCATAGCGTATGACGTTTGTCGGGCTAACGGGGATAGAATGTCTGTTGCCGATTGGACTCGGGGATAGACGGGGCTGGCGTGTCATAGTGTATGACGTTGTCGGGCCGATGGAGATTGGATGTCCGGTGGAGATCGGAGTGCGGCTGTTACCGAGGAAGCGCGATGCGGTGACGAGGCGGCGGTGATATAGGCGCGTTGATGCGCTG